GACAGAACAATATAACCAAGTCACTTGGAGACCACCAAAGCGAGGGGCATGCTTTACATCAGAAATCAAAATCGTTTTGTTATTGATCGTCTCTTTAAATGAAGATCTTAATAAGCCTAGTAATTTTAATTAACGAGAAAAGAATTGGCCAAATCTCTATGAGTTTGGCTGCGGTTCCAGCACCAGCATTTCAGTCTGCTGGGAGACATTTTGAACACTGGTTGAATTAAGTGACTGTTCAGTGCGTGATATATGTTGCTTACTTGCTAATCCCTTTCACGGACCAGCCAGGGTTTGCTAGAGTGTTAATGGGGCATGTTCAGCAATGGATTTGCCATGTTGCCTGTAGGCTTAAAGTGCCAATATCTGCTTCTATTCAGTGCGGTAGGTTTAAAGTGCCAATATCTACTTCTATTCACTGAACAATATCTGTCTGTCCAGTGCCTTGAGACATCCTCTTGACGTGAAAGGCGCTTTACAAATGTAATTTTGCTGCTGTTGTTCTATTGTACTCCTTATTGGCATATTACTTATTCATGAGTTATAGTTAAAGTATGCTTTTTGGCTACATGAATTCCCACATTTTTTGAAATGTGGCTTCAGATAATTACTATTGCAGATTGAGGCAGCTGCCCACTGTTTCAGCGTTGGGACTCAGCAGAAGAAAGGCCAGATGCAGAAGGGAACATTATTCCAAAAACACTTCTGATTACAAAAACAAATTGCATTGAAAAAGCGTCTTTCACGTCAGAAGAATGTCCCAAGGCGCTGATACTAAAGTTACTCCACTGTGAAGCTTTGATTGATGATTAAAGAAGGAAATTAAATAATTCAACTCATTAAAAGATCGTAAAACAGCTTGGGGTGTTGCCTCACTTAGAATGGTGTTAATCATATGCTGAATGAGCACCAGCATGGTTTAAATTCTTTTTTTGTTAATTCAGCGCTTGTGTGAGATAATGTGTGTGTGTATATGTGTGTCTCGCACATTATTGGTACATGTCACCAATGTGCTGTAGAGTGGGTGAGACTGATCAAACTAAAGGGCCATCTTCCTCACTTATCCAATTAAATCATTATTTAATGTATCATCATCCTTTCTGAATGCAATTTTTTTCTTCCCAATCGTCTCTACTGAAAGCCACAATCCACGTTGGCATTAGGCCTCAAAGACATTAGCTGCCGTTTGATGGCTGATTGGAGCATCCATTCTTCACTTGTGAAACTACACTGTGTTCATCAGCAAACTATGCAATTGTGGAGGCCGTCATAGCCAAGGCTGATTGTATCCTTAACTCACATCCACAAATATGCACTTTCCTGCAGGATCAGCATTAGGGGAAGATGCTGCGTTTTGCCCATTCACAGCCAGGGTTACTCTTAATGTCTACCTGAACAGACAGACTGGACCTCAGTTTAATATCTGATCCCAAGGAAGCCACTCCCAACAATCCTCCCCCAGCACAACATTCGAAGCGCAAAGTCCTGACTTAGTGCTTAAACTCACAGCCCTCTGACTCTTAGGCAAGTGCTACCACCTGAGCCAGGTTCAGAATGTAAACCGTATTGCATTCGTAATGTGAAAAAATAAAGAAACTAATATTAACTATTTGGATTTGTGCAGAAATCACAATTGTATAGTGCTGGTAACTGGATATTCATCAATCTACCCCTCAAGAACATTACTCAAATGTAACTTACAAGCTGATGTCATTGGTGCGGAGCTGCAGAGGGTCAGCATGACACACATCCAGTTACCAGCAGTATTTAATACATGCAAATTCAGGCTCCAGATATTGTGCATTTCTGTTTGATCCAACTGTAGTGTTTACATCAGAATATTCTGAGTATTTAAACCCAGTAACAAACAACAAGGGTGTTTATTTTTTCCTCCTCAATTTTCCACTTTATTCAGGTTTCTGCTCTGTCCCTTTGAAGCGCTTGATGACATTACCCTAGGGTGCTCCAGAAATACAAGTTGTTCCTGTTGTAAAATTGCCAGTTTATAGATTGGTGTAGTAAGTACAGGAGTATTCTATAACCTTAATATATGGTGTATTGATTAACCTATAATGCAGTGTATTGTATAATGTAAAGGGCTTTATTATCCTTTGGTGACACAAGTGGTATTTTACAAGTCACGTGAGGGTGTTCCTACTTCCTATTAATCACCTCCCCCTGAATTGCATGCTGACAGTGTGTTGCTGCCTCTGGTCAACTGAAGAATGACCACTGGAAGGCATTACCAGAGAGCATCTGTGAACCACACCCCTGTATGTGGCAGCGCCTCCAGAAGTGAAGAAATGGCAAAAATAAAGATTACTTATCAACTGAGCTATAGTGATGTAGGTCCACACAACCAGAGAGGAAACAGCTGTACCTTTCAGTGTGGCTTTGTACAATCAAGTCTTTGGGCCACATGGGTCAGCCTCGAGAACAGAAACAAAAGCTCTATGTTGGCATTTGCGATTGAGGAGCTCTAGGGTATTTGTTCATAACACACCACTTGTTCAATATTGTTTTCATCATCTGAACAATGCAGAGCGATAAGACCCTGTTGGCAATCGAGTCTGTGCACCTGTCTGTCAAAAGTGTGTAATGGCACATTTTAATTATGAGGTGTTAAAGCAGCAAATTCTGCCGCCTGAAGGGTTGTGCACTGAAACGATCCTCTGATTGCCTGTCGGGAAAATTCCTGGAAAATGAGATAAAACTATTGCATTTGGACTTCATATCACCTAACAAAAGATGCTCTGTTATTGAGGAGACAGGGCTGTCAAATAAAATTACTACATATGGAAGGAAAATGGAAAGGAACCGTCTGCTCATGTTATCAGAGTGCTTTTTTTCTATCGCTGATGTCTGTTGAGTAATGGAGCAGAAACCATGACGTACTTAACCAATGCTTCCCTAATCAGCCAAGCTGCCTTTGGGTTTGGGAGAGAAAGCTATGAAAGGGTTTGTTGTCCCTTTGTTTGCCTGGTTGTACGGAGAGTCAGGAATCTGGATGTAATGGTTGAGACCAAGCAAACCATTCATATATTCCACTTCATATCTACCCAATCTGAGGTGAAACCACGACTGTCAGATACAGTCACATTCTTTTTAAGAAAAAGACCAAAACGAGAGGCAAAGCTCACTACAATGCATGCAGCAGTTACAGTAGACTGAATTGTGGGATAGCAGAGCTCACTGTGGAATGCATTGCTCATCTTATTAATAACCACATCTTTTTGTGAAGCTGTCACTCACTGTAATGGCATTGCAACAAAAGCTGTTTATTAACTTTTTGACAAGATTCATTCACGTTTGACTTTGCTACATCAATAAGTGAAAAGCAAATTAGAAATCTGGTTGATGGTTGTGTGATCAGGCTAGCTAACCTCCCTTTTATGTGTGTGTGCAGTGTAGTGGCAAGTCAGAGATGTGTTGGCAGATGTTGTCCAGAGATAGGTACCAGGCCCAAGCACTCTGGGGGATAGAGGTGATACAATCCTCGCTGCTGTTTTCCAGCAATAGCGGGAAGACAAAAAGGGAGGAGTTTGATCTTCTGGAGAGGTTGTGGAGGGAAGTGACTCAGAAAAAAAGGAAATTCTAAAGATCGGAGCCAATCGTAGTGATAGAGGCACTCGACATAATGTCTATGTTTTACCTGAACCTTTCAGCAACAAAGTGTGAAGATTTTCCCTGTGCACTTATCCCAGCATCACTGCCAAGCAGGCATTGACATCACTTATGATGCAAAATAGCTACTGTTTTATATTATACAATAATAATGTTTATATTTGATACAGTGTCTTTGACATAGGGAGGAAGGCTCAAAGCACTGCACAGGGTATAATGGCATGTAAAGGTGTCATGACTGTATTTTGTATGCAAACACGCCAGCCATTTTTCACAAATTTAAACCACTGCTTAAGAGAGGGAAGGACTGGCTATTGTGGCAGATGTATTCTCCCAGCGCTCAGTCACCCTAGTTCATGGAAGCTGTAGGGAGTGAATTTTAAATGAATCCATATGTGGATTAATCTATCTCTGCCTTATTCAATAACCGAACTGGAAGTGTCAATTTCTAAGTTGGTTACTGAGGAAATTCACTGTAAGTTTGTATCGGTTCATGAAGGAAAAGAAAAGTTCCTGGCAGTTGGACTCTGGTTCCTTGAGCTCTAGGAAACTTATTGGACAGATTTCCTGATCATTAACCTGTGACTCCAGTGTAAAATATACCTGTGTGGATGTTGAACAGTATTTCCTTAGCGGTTGAATAATTTACCCGCACTCATGGCTAGGCTTACAAAGAAAAGTTGGGTGGGGTACTGGAGGACTCACAGTGTCCTTGAAACTGAGTGAATCATAAAAAAATCATAAAACAATAATTGCCTCATTGGCAAGCCTGCAATTAGCATTGCACAACACAATGCATCTATACTAATTCTTGTTTTTCAGCCTGTGTTCAAATATTATCCTGGTAATAACATAGGCATGTCAGTGACAACGGGCAATTAGAATAGATATTGACTTGGGAACAAACTCTGCAAATGGTACAAGTCCAGGCTCGTTGGACAAGATGTCAATAGCTCACTGTGCAACCTGCTGAATGCATATTTAACTGAGAGGTACTTTAAGCTTGTGTTAACTATTCTATCCTTTATTTTAATGGATTACTCTAAAACCTTTGGGGTAATGGAATAAGAAACGGAAAAATGAGGGGAATGTGTACCCTGTCCCAGCCCAGCTCACATCAGCAGCTTGCGTCCTGATGAATAGCTTCTGGAATCGGAGCTTGGGTCTTTCGGTCAAAAGAGCTGTTAAAAGAGGAACAAATCAAAGCCACAAAGTTTGTAAATTTATCTTGCAGTTTACCATTACTGAGGTCCTTCGAAAAATCCAAAGTCAGATTAATCACGGTAGCTTTGAATGATCATTGGATTGTGGAGTGATTGTTCAGTGGAGGTGGTTCCTTTCAGAGTCTTCCATTGATCTAATCTTCTTTTCTTTAGGTGTCCGCAAGCCCAGAGTGCATGCGAGCCATGATGAGGTTGATGTACTGTCCGCATTGCCGCAGCATGGCCAGCATCAAGCCATGCAATAACTACTGCCTCAACATCATGAAGGGCTGTCTGGCAAACCAGGCTGACCTGGACAGCGAATGGAGAAACCTAATCGGTAGGAGTCATAATAATAATAATCATTGCATTTGATATAGCGCCTCATCACATCTTCGAGGCGTCTCAAAGCACTTCACAAAATATACTGTAAAGTGAATTGACTGTATATTTTGTGGACGAAATGCAGCAGAAAATTGCGCCCAGCAATAAAGTAAAATAGTTACAAGACTGGGTGAAAGAAGAGAATCCAAATGGTTTCAAAACTGTCACATTTGAAGCTTCAGCATTTTAAGGATCTCTTTGCCATCAGTTCCCTTTCTTAACATCAAACTATGACTATCCTGCAAAATCCATTGTGCTACTGAGCCAGTGTGGATCCACATTTGATACTTGGGCTATTTTCAGTGCTCCGAGACACTACCTTGCATGAAAGGTGCTGCTATATAAATGCAAATTAAGTTAGTTGATCTCACAACAACTCACAAATGGAGCACAACAATTACTTCCAATGTCTGGGCTCGTTGAGAAAAAGTTAGCTAAGGTTTCCATACTGACTTAGCTGGTGGCCCTTGTTTGTAGATATCTGGTGAGGATGGGATTGGACTTGACATTTTGCTTTCCTTCATAGTTGAATAGCCTGCTGATAAGCACTATCAAAGATCACACAAAATGGTATCTGCGGAAGGTACTGAGTGTACCTCGTCTGGTGCTTGTGGATCCTGAGGAGGGAGTAGAATTGATGTGGAAAAATGTATTTAAAAATATTAACATCAAAATTCTTTTACATGTTTGAGTTTGAAAATAAGCCAAACTCCATCCTTGCCTGATGCCCACACAAAAGGACTTTCAGCAAGGTCTATTGCGTAGCTATCAAACTCATTAACCCTGACTGACTTTCTTCCTTCATCCCAACCCCAGGGGTGCTGAAACCAATTTTAGCATTCGTACCACTTTCCTGACTAACTCAACACATGCTAGAGATTGAATGTGGGACTCTATGATTGCAGACATTGGACAGTACATGTATTATTCAACACTGAGAGTATTTCTGCCCAGAGAATGTTGACTCTAATTACTCTGTTTGATTTCCAGATTCTATGATTCATGTTGCTGACAGATTTGATGGACCATCAAATATGGAATCATTTGTTGATGACATTGACCAGAAGATCTCAGAAGCAATAGTAAACATGGAAAATAGATTTGAGCATATCTTATCGAAGGTAAGACCTTGTACGAGTCAAATTGGGTTTCAGTGGTCTAAAATCTTTAAAATGATGCAGTTAGATGTAATGTTTTAACTTCAATTCTAGAATTGGGACTGATGGTAATGAGGAATTCCTCTTTCTGGTGGCTGTGAGGTTCCTATATAAAATGAGTTCCCAGTTTCTCTGGTGCAATTCCTGCCCTCACTTGTGGTTCACCCACATTTCTGCAGAGGCACTGGATGAAGTTCAGGAGTCTTTCTCCTCTTCTTCGCATCCCCTTCCTCTTTCCCCCCCCATCACCCAGGTTCTCTGGGCCCCAGCTTAGATTGCCTAAACAAGCACCGCTGACGAGGGAAGAAACCTGGAACCTCCAGTGTATCATTAACCGGTGAATATCACAATGCTAGCAATCCAGCGTATTCAATCTGTGGCTCCAGTTTCTAAGTGACTCGTTTGATAAGTCTAAGCATCTGTTTTTTGCTAGAACAAAATCTGCAGGTGCCATAAAGGAGGTTGGAGGGAACAAGTATTAATAGGCAGGAATCAGCTGTGGTTACATGGTTACATCAATCGCGATGTGATAGAGGAGATACCAGTTGATTAGAATCATAGAAATTTACAGCTGCAGATTAAACTGCAGTAAACATTAACATAGTTGGAACCATCTGTGTTGCAGTTAGTTTGTAGATAAGGTATAGGCCCTGATGCACCTAGATATATGAACGGGGGAAGGATGCTGTTTTAAATATATCACAGTAGTGGAGATCACTTTGCCAAGGGTGAAGCTGAAAGCGATCTCAGGGTGTTAGTTGACTCATTGCTCACCATTGCAAAACGGTGTGAGGCAGGAGTAAACAAGGTAAATAGGATGCTGGGATGATTTGCTATATCAGTTGAGTTGAGATCCCCAGAAATTGTACTTAAGCTCTCTAATGCTGTAGTCAGGATACACCTGGAGCACTGTTTACACTTCTTGTCATTGAGACATAATAACACTGCCCAGGCCATTGACTCATTAGAGCAATGAGAAAGATCCCCAATGTTGCAGGTATGAACGACTACAATTAGACATGCTTGGGCTATTCAGTCTTGAAAGGAGACATCTCAGAGAGGACTTTATAGAGGTAAAGAAAAGTTAAAATGAGATTAATAAAGTGAACCAAGAATAATACTTTCGAAAGCAGTGAGACAACAGAATAAAAAGACACCGGTTTAGGATTGCAGAGAGCAATTTGAGGACATGCATTGGGAAATATTCTTTTCTTTATGATGAACTTGCAGTCTTACTTCAGCCAATGTCTTCCAGCTTCCTCATTTTGTTTTGGAGAATTACTAAGCTGGTTTACCCAGTTAAGTTATTATTGTCTTAGCTGATTCCACTAAAAAAATTGATGAGATTGAATGTATGTTTTACATTAATATGTTTGAGCTTTGATATGCATCCAGCCTAATGCCTGGTTCCTTTTGCCTGAAGTGATCTAATCTTGCTCCCAGCAGAAAAACAAAACAGGATTTATACCTCCTTCCCCCAATTGCTTGGAACTGAGGACAGCTCTGCTCAAGTGAACAATAAGAGCACTTGCACAGTTTTGTCAATTAAAGTTATTTTGAAGAGCTAGGAGTGCTATCAACTGTTTAATAAGAGCAAAATATTCTCAAAAGCTCTTGCACAATGTGTTTTTGAGCAGAGGCTAAATTGATTCATGCTACATGCATTGATTCCTGCACAGGTTGTTGTTCTGTAAGCCTCTGAGACCTAAAATTATCGGGTGGGGCTTCAGTAATTTGCAGTGAAAGCACTGTATAAACGGCATACAAGTTAGCAAGCAAAACTCCCCCGATGGCCCGGTGGGAAAGATACCACCTGAGGTCAGAACTTTAGTCTTGTTATTAAAGCCGTCTCCACTTCGGACACTTCCATGACGGGATCAATACTCAAAGGACACACAATCTGCTAATTCAGGGAATTTATGTCCCACTTCAAAAAAAGCAGCTGACAATGTCAGTTTAAATTGCCATTACCATATCAATCAGAGCACGATTATTAAATTTGCTCCTATACTCAATTCATGACGGACATTTCCAGCAATCAGTCTCATTGAGTTCCAGTGATTTAAATGATCGTGCAAGACAGTCGATCTTACCCTATCACTTAACCTTAAAAGCATTTTATTTCCCCCCCACATCTTTTGAGGTGTTTAATATATTGATAATTCCATCACAAATACTTTCAGGTTTATCTCTGTGAAAAATTACTTTAATTTCATGCCAATTTTACTTTACACCTGACCCGTAAAGAAAAATAGACCAGACTTGTAAAATCAGATTCTCTCAGTTTGTTAAGCTAAAAATCTGCATCTTGTGGGAATTTTTTTTTAGGTTCAGCAAGGCTGTGGGCATCTGAAATCCACAGCCGATCGATCTCCTGGAGATAACTCCAAAAGGCGTTCAAAGCGACATTACGCAGAAGACAAAATGGGCAGCTCAATTGCCCCTCAGATGGACAGGCTGGTAAGTGCTGCATGCCTCATTCAGAATAAATAGTCTTTCAGCTGAAATTTTCCTCCCTCACTCTAGCCTTTGCTCAGTGGCACAATGATGTGAAAACAACTGGACTATATTATCTCTGAATGTAATTGTACACACAAAACATTCTGAGAAGACCACCTGATTCAAGTAACTTATTGGTTTGAATGAATAGTATTCCAATAAAGTATGAATCAATAGGCCTGGAAAAATACTGCCAATATCAGACTTAATATAACAACCAGTATGAAAATTGCCCTTTTCTCTCATCACGCCCATTCCTGTCACAGACTATATGATATGCTTCATTGCGAGTTGTCATTTAATCTGCAGAAGCAAAGTTCCGGACATTTCATTTCGTCCTGAAGAGATGCACTTGTAAAGGAAACCGCCTTGTTCAATAACGCTTGATTGATCAAAGGGCATTGAACAAAGCAGTTTTCCTTATGGTTAAGTATTTTGCTTATGGCAAATTAGGTTCCTCTAAGTTCATATGGAGTGCTAAAGAGTTGTTTGTGTCCTGTTAGGTTACTGAAGTGAAAATGAAGCTCCGAGATGTCAAAGAATTCTGGATTAATCTCCCGGGCGAGATGTGTCGTGAGAGAGTGACTGCAGGCTCAGCCAATGAAGATGAATGTTGGAATGGACAGAACAGAGGGAGGTAAGATAATGGGATGAGGGAAACCTTTACCTCTCAATTCAACCAAAGAGCACTTGAAATCTAAAAAGGCAGGACTAGATTTTGAGACTACAATGAAATGCTTCCCAACATGTGTGAAATGTATCCTTCTTTGCTCACAGGATGAAAATAATGTCCTATTGTTGCCCAGTTCTTTCAGTATGAGATTCCTGATTTCACCTTTGTTGGTGAAACCTTGCAGATATGGGGTTTGTCTATGGAATACTTAACTTCTTCAGTGACTGAGGTTAATGTTGTGTGTTGCCAGACAGCTTTATTGTGGAAGTGTTTCACAGCCAAGAGACCAGTTAGGGTTCAATGGAATCCAGAATCAATATCCTAATCAATGACATTTCAAATAACTCGTGCTCTTAAGTGGTGCTGTGACGATTGAATCGTGTAAGGTGTTTGGGCTTTCAGTCTAAATGTTTAGCCAAATGCTCAAGCCTTTAGATGGGGTGGTTTGGAAATGATGATGCCAGGTGGCAGATATTAATTGAAGTGACAAAAACAGGTCTCACTGTATTAGTTATTGTGGGGCTCAGCAAATTCACGTACGTAGCAACCAGCATCAGAATCCCAAGTCATGTAATTCAAGTAGAAATAACGTATGATTTTTGTTATTAATTTCTCAGTGGCTGCCATAAATTTAGTACAGTTCAGTACTGACTGACATGCATTCAAAACCAGCTACAAGTAAATCATAAGGCATGTAGAAGAATTGGAAGAGAATCAGATTAACCTTTAAAGCATTGAAGGTTCAATTTGAATAATGACTTGATTTGTGCGCCTTGTATAATTGGTGCCTCCCGCAATGCTGCTTGAATGAATCCAATTTGTCTTGTGGGGTTCACTGATATCACTAAAGGCAGTTATCAGCCTTGCCTTGAAATTGGTGAATATAGAACCAGTGAGTGGTAAAAAGATGCTGCTGTTTTTCCTTTCTCCATTGCATTTGAACAAACTATAAAGGTTTTTAAGAGATGTACAAGTTTCATCATGATTACCAGGATGAAGTCTAGTTAACAAAATTCAACCTGACAGAATCCAATGTACGGCACTCCTGGGGCCTGTCAGATTTTCTTTCAAACTCTAATCTTGTTAGGAAATAAAACAATAGACTTTTTTTGCTACTAGAGGTAACGTAAGGCAGCTTTTTTTAATTTGATCATTGGGTAGAAAAGATACCCCCAAAAGAATACTGCAGCTTTAAGTAATGAGAATGTGTTTTTTTGTTAAAATAGAAAATTATCATTTGGTTTTGTAATTAAAACTGCTTTTGACTGACTTGCAAATGGAGTAGGCTTTTAAGTATAGAATTGAGACCTTGGAGCTATGAAATGCTGGATTCAATTGTTCAATCCATATCTCAAAACTAGTAGTATTTATTCCAACTAAATAGATTGAATTTCCCAACTGTGAACTGTAATACATAGTACATGGCTTGCTGTAGCAACTGGCATTTGGAAATGTAATGCACACCACACTTGACTGTGTAACCATTGCAGTAAATAGCACTCTCACAGTTGTCAGAAGAGGAATTTCAGGGAAAGGACTGTATATAAAGGGGAGGAGGGGGGATATGTCTCTATGGTTGACAACTTTGATTGTGTCCTGGATTGCATCCCTTGATTTTGTATTGGTTTATGAATTATCAGGGGTGATTAGGTTGCCAAATGAAAAATTATAATCGGATATGAGTAACTTCAAGTTACTCATCCTGTAAGATTCCCTCGGTGTTGGGTCTATTATTCTATTTCCCGTACACTGCTGGCTTTATGGCCCACATCTGTTGCAATTGCATCAACAATTTTGAGTTTCCTTATTAAAGTGCCTATTAACTGCTTTTTATTCGTAACCCGTGAAGGGGAATAAACCCAATTTTGGGTAGATGAATACAGTGCGCTGAAGAAATCTCACTATTTATTATTATCCTTTACAGGTATCTCCCAGAAGTGATGTCAGATGGTCTAGCCAACCAGATTAATAATCCAGAGGTTGAAGTTGACATTACCAAACCGGACATGACAATTCGCCAGCAAATCATGCAGCTAAGAATAATGACCAATCGCTTGCGGAACGCTTACCATGGCAATGACATTGACTTCCAGGATACAAGTGAGTATTGCTGCTAGGTCCTTTCCTGTGTTTTCTCATCCTGGTCCGATACTTCATGCGTCGAGGAATCAAAGACTTTTACTGGGTCTCATTCAGTCATGCTGCCCTTGGGTCAATGTACAGGTCAGATTTGTTACTGAGGATTTTTGTCTCTTCATTTTCTTCATTATCTTTTTTCCTTTACTCCTCCTTTATCCCCTTTTCCTCTTCTTTCTCCTCCTCTTGTCTTGAACCTTTGTCTCTTTTGTTTTGTTCTCTGTCCAATTATCTTCCACCTTGTTCCGTTGTCCAATGCTTCTCTTATAATTTGCTTCCCTCTTCTTTTGCCCTTTCCTACTTTCTCCTTTGAACCTATTTGGGAAAGAATGAATTAGGATCGCAATTTAATCCAAATTAATTTAGTTTCCTTCGACTCTTTAGTGCTATTTAATGAAGCAGCGCCAGATACTGCTGTAGTTCAATGCTATGAATGGTGCTGCTGTTTTCTTAAGAGATCCACAATCTTCAACAGGTGATGACAGCAGCGGATCTGGGAGTGGCGACGGCTGTTCAGAAAATGCTTGCAGCAGGAAACGATCCTTCAATGCCGCCACAAGCGAGCCGCTCTTGTACCCCAAACCAAAGCCCATCGGGAAGAACTCCAGTAACTCTATCAGCCTCTCCTTATATTCTACCTTCTTCCACCTCTTGTCCGTGGCTCTTGCTGTGCAATATTTCTGGCGGTAATTCTTCACCAGTTGTGGTGATGAGAGAGACTATGGCAAGGGGTCTGAAATCTTTGCCAAAAAATGGACAAATGTTTTGTTTATCTTTGCAGAAAAAAAAATTCAAATATTTGGCTGTTTGTAAATTCTGGCGGTGCTGGAGGTGATTACTTTGGATCTTTTGTGCACTGGGACCCTCTTTGGTTTTAAGGTGCCTCTTGTCTGTATTCTTCGATCCTGATTTTGCCAGTTGTGACACCTTGAATTGTTCAGATACCTGTTCTTCCACACACAGCGTAGTCACAACGGCCTACCAATGGGCTAGGGGTTCCTGCGGATTGAGCGTTATAAAGAAATTTAGTTTCCTACTACGTTAATTTTAAAAATCACAGCTAATGTATTCTAAATAAGTCCATGCTATAAGCACATTGATGGCATGGGGATGCCAAGTTTTTTTTTATTGAGATTTTATTTGTTAAGCACATTCTTGATACATTGATAATTAGATCATCACAGAGTACCAATCCGCTGTCATTTTTCCAGGGTATTTAACCATATTTTTCCAAACGAAACATTCCGATGGTCTTAACCTATGGAATATGATGTAATGGTACGGTTATCTATTTGATATCTTACTATCTCATGATGTATCTACTCATTTATAAGGCATTTATTTAAGAGGAAAAACTAGACAGCTTCAAATTTTCCACACTTGAACTTCTGACTTACTGCAGGGTTGGAAGCTCATGGTATCTATGAAAGCTGCATACCACTGCTAATATAATAGAGACTGAGATTGGTGAACTTTTTGGTGTATGAGAGAAACAATTGGTGGCTTTCAACCCTCACCTAGATTCATTTTGATTTAAATAAATTCTGACCAGATGATGCAGTCAATTAAATACTAATCGTTCACTGATGGGATTTGGTTTGAATCGAGCCCAGGTTGATAGGTTGCAAGTTTTTCTTGGCTGTTTGGTAACCCTAAACGACAGTACCTACTTGGCTCACATTACAAAACTGCCCTCACTTGGGCCCAAAATTAGCCTGACTGACTTAGATAGTCCACAGGTTGGCTGGGTTTGGAAATGGAAAATGTCCCATTGGTGTCGTGGGAGATACACTTCTGTCTTCTGAGGTTATGGGGGGCGGAATTGATTCACAATATTAGAGCAGAACAGTGAATGTATCTCTGCATTCATCAGTACCACACTTCATCTGGAAGTCCTTGAACCTAGGTTTCTGAAAAAAGTATCCCAGACGATAAAATTCACTCTTTTAAAACAAAAGAAAATGTTTTATTGAAATGTTTGTTTAGTTTAATTCTGGCATCCTGGATGGTGCAGAGTAGATTTTTCTCGTGATCTCTGTGGTGACATTTGTGAGTGACCCGTGGACAGAAGCACTTCCAAGAGACCATTAACAAAAGGTAAAAGGTTTGTAGGTACGTTTTCTTATTTGAGACATGCAGAAAGCTGGCCTGAAGGAAGGTACTTTCCAGCAACCTGACAGACATGAAGGCAGCCAGTAAAAATCTATCGAGTGCTTTTGGCTACACAAGAGACTGATGAGTGGAACACCCTCATGCTGTCTAATTTCTCAATCTTCCATTTGCCTGTCGTGCGTGTGCTAAAAATATGCCTGTGGAGGGGGGAGATGGAGGGAGGGAAGTACCCCACAGTTCTAATACTACCATTGTAAGTTTTCCATGCCATAAATTAAATGTAAGCAGCATTATTGCATAATAAAACATGGCTGCCATTCAAAGATGGTAGTGGATTATAGCAAGGGCATCACTCAAACTATTGTGTGATTGAGGAATTTGTGGAGGTGAGGGGTGCCTTAGTGCTGTAATTTTTTGGGGGGAGGATAAAAATATTTTGAATGACGTGGTGTGCTCAACAAGGTGTTTTCATGAAGGGGAGCTAAGCTGTGGCTGGGAGCATTAATAAACTACTGTGCAGCCATCCAGCCTTCCTGAGCTTGGGTATGTTGTCCGTGAGAAATAATTCCTGTGCTTGATGATGTTTGGTGTTTGGACTTTACTGCTAAGTGGGGGGTGGGGGGGGCTGGGGAAGGTACACTTTTATGTAAAATTAAGCTGCAGAAAATGCTTACTGACCTCCATTTCATATCTCTTCTATCATTCCCTTTCTGATTTCATACTAGCCTTTTTTAAAGAAAAAGAAATACCTCAAAGAATTTGATTTTAGTTTTCTTCAATCGTTTTATTTCTCTCTTTCACACCTTATCCCCTACTCCCGCCCCTCCCCCATTCATAACATAAGGCATCAAGCATTCCTAATAAAGTATCGCAATTGGTAGCAATGGCCCAGCCAGACATCAGTTAGTTCCTAAAGAGAGATCTGATGGCTCTTGGAGTCCAATTTAACCTTCACGCCAATACCACTGTGCCCATCTTACCTCATTTTAGAGGAATCGCCTTTAGGTGACATACTCAGAGGTTCAGTTTTGTCTCAACCTTTTTAAAAAAACACCACCGTAACATGTACTTCCTTAGTTGCCCACTGTTATCGTGTTCTACATTAAGTAAAAGAAAATAACTGTTAATCTCAACAATTCTCATTTTGAAGGAGATTGTTTTTTTTAACCAAATCATGATTTATTGATGTGTTGGCACGGTATTGGAAAGAGCGGAAGGTACTGAAAGTGTAGAAGGGCAACTCGGAAGGTTCTGACAGACGTATAATTGTTTCGAAGTATTGATGGTCATGGCTTCTCTTACCTTCCAAACTCTGGAGAGGCCTCTGTATATTTAATGTACGAACTGTGGCATTGTTTGATTTACCCTTTAAATTCACCTGACTTAGTCAAGAATTCAATACAGTTATTCAGGTGTCAGACCTTTTCTGATGTACCCAACCATAAATGATGCATTAAAACTGTTCCCATTTTACTATGTACAGCCATAAAGTAATGGTGAAGCATCTGGTTATTGTTTGTTTTAAAACTTTTTTGTTTCATTTTTTAAAGAAATGTTAAATATGTCTTGCACTGTCTGAACCTCTAACAGAAATAATATTTGGGACCACACTGGATTTGAGGGCTGGAAACCTAGCCTTGTTGTCGTAACTTTTTTTTGGTGCTTTTCCTTCTCCCACACTTTACCCTATTTGATCCTCTCTTATTTTCACCTATTTTCTGGAGGTTGCATTAGTCCTGCTGTTGTTATGCAGAGAGTAAAACTTTTCATTTAACCTTGACTCATTCCCACTGCTTTCATCGTCTGCTGTTTCTATGAATGGGAGTTCAGCAGGAGTGCAACAGAGGTGTTGCATTGGTGATGTTGTGTCTGAGAGTACAACATCCAGATAAGGATTTTCTCTGAATAGTTCCTGTTGCTGCCTGTATCTTTGACAGCTTTCATTTGAGCTCTCAGCCCGCCGATGCAGTCCAACAATGCCAATTTTCACCCACGCAGTAGAGGAAATTCAGAGTCCGAAAATAGTCTTAATTTCTTGGGTGTGAATCCTTTGTGTATGTGCATGTGCAATTATGCTCTTGTTTCTGTGTTGCCGAGATTCTGCTCTGCAGTATTAATGAGGACATCCCCAGCAGCAGTAAGCAGTCTCGGTATTTCAGAGCTACCTTTGTATACAAACTGAATCATTCTTGCTCTCACCCTTTTCCTCTCCTCATCTTTACCCACTTCACCCCTCCCCCTTTAAATTCGCTCACTCACTTTTTCTGTTTGTCTCTCTCTGTCACTCACTCTGTTTTGACGACTAAATCACTTTTCTCTTCATTTTAGTTATTCACTCTATCTTGACTGCCCACTTCTATCTCGGTTGTGCATGTATCTGGTGTGTGTGTCTCTGTTTCTCTCACCCTGTGTTTCAACTTTATGGAATGTGAATATTCTCCCAAATCTATTTAGAGAATATCTACATTTAATAAAAGTAATCAGTTGTATACAGTTAAGTAGTTTGGAAAAGAAAGTTGTTTTGTCCCCTATCTATCTCCCACAGTTAACATGTTTCCCCTTGGATACATGTTCAGAAATGGACAGATCACAGCTCCAATGAGCTATCCAAGCAATTGAGACCTGCTTTAGTACCTTGTGAGTCTTCAACTTCAGTTTGGAACAACTGATGTGAATCCAGCTCACTTTGTCTTCAGTTAGCCCTAGGCCACAAATGGAGTTGTCTATCATCTTCATTCTCTCCAGGTCACAGCAGCTATGAGTGCTGAGGGTAGGGAGAATTTTTGTTTCTTTTTTCCCCTCCACCCATTTTTATTTGCATCGTATCTTGAAAATGCTGACACTTGACAGGTACAAACTTACAGCTGCCGAATCTTCATTTATTGGACCCACAAGAGGAGCATTGCAGCTGAGCTTGATCTGTCCTCACTTTTACATCCACACATGACACACATAAATAGACAAACTTTCCAGCAGGAGTCAATGGATAGAGATCAGAAGTAGGAACTGAAACTAACTGTATTCTCCCACCACACCATCATCCCTCACCACTAAATTGAGGGTTTTCATTGCCTGAGATCAACTGACTCACTACTGGGACATATTAGGACATATTTTGTCGGGACATCCGGGACATATTCATTTCTCACCAAATGTTTTACAGATGTGGCATAGCAACAGCAAATCTGTACTTCTGAAAATATGAAAAATAAGATGAATTTGTTCCTCTCCCAACACCCACCTTTCCCTGTTAGTTGATCACTGTAACCCGATGTATTGTTAGCGCTCAGTGCCCTTCCTGTTCAGAGACTAATTTTGTTTTTGGTGGGGGAAGAGAGAAAACATACACTGAGAATAAGCCTCAAAAGGCAGATTTTTCAGGGGGAGGCGGATTATTCCTGAGGTGTTCAATGCCTCCATTGTTTGTGGTCAGTTTTGAGAAATGTTGTTGAAGAGCGTTGGGGGGAGGGAGGGAAATTCTCGCAAATTGACAGTGATGTGACTGTTTGGTCGTTCTGAGAAAAGCAGCATGTGACTTATTGGAGCCTTTTGACTGTGTTTTCTGTCTTTTTTGGGGGGTTGGGGGGGTGGGTCATTTCTTAGCTGTGGAGAGGAGTGACCTTTAACATACTGTATCCAAGCTCTAACCTTGTATATGTGCTGTACTGGGTCCTTGTGGTTGGTCTATCCTCACTTTGAACAGGGAGGGGTGGGGTGCCCCATTCCCAATTCTTCCCATTCACAACAGGGAGAAGGGAGTTGAAGTAAGAAGCTTGACCAGGTCAGAAATGCTTTGGAAACCAACGTGTCTTTCTTTTCTTCCTGCTTCTGAATCAGACATCTCGACTCACTCCATTGTCAACATCTCTCCTCGCTCTGTACCTTGTTGACCCCCAGTACTCAAAGGCACCAAAAGTGTTGAGGGAATCTTTAATGGGTGGGGAGAGAGGAGGAAGAGAGAGAAAGGAGGAAAAACAGTAAAGAGGGCAGCAGAATTTCTTCTATGATGATGTGACCTTATGATCGTGCAATGCAATGTGGCTCAGCTTGGCGAGCAAATTGAAACCAATTTGTCAAACGCTCTTTGAAATCAGTAACCCTAGGACTGTGGGGTTTTTCAAGTATTGTATTGTCATTGTTTGTGGGGTCACCAATTCAACATGAACATTGGGTGTCAGGGATTACAATTTTCCCAATTTTTTTCCTCCTGTCTCGTCTCCCCCCACCCTCTCACCCCACCATTGAGTCAATGCTCTGACTCTCCAGCTCGCCTCATGGAGTGAACTGCAGCTAAAATGCCCCTCATGAGTCATACAATGCCTTTTTAATTCAAAGAATGTATTAAATGTCAAACTGGTGGTCTCCCGTTAATTTTAATGTTAAATTCTTTTATTGGACTACTTGCTCTCGATAATTTCCGAGACTAAAAGGTTTGGAACTTGAGTGTCGTCGCGTCTCTTTGTGTGTTTTTTTTGTTGCTTAAAAATAACAAAAAAAGTTACACAATCACTTGTTTACTACATGTTTGATTTGAAAGCTTTTAAAAAAAATAAAGAGAAAGTTTTGAGACACGTGGTTTGGGTATTTTTTCAAATTTGTTGAAGTTGTAGCTGCTGTCAATTAGATTTGTATCTTTCCTCTAATTTTCTCCCCTCTCCTGAAGCCACTGTTTCAATCCTAGGACAGACAGTTCCATGGATGTCCTCAGCTTCTGTGCATTGTCTTACGGCCATTCTTCATGTGTGGTTGATCGACAGTGAGTGAGAGTCAGCAGACTGTTTGACTGTGGGGGTGGGTTTGGGTGAGAATGAAATGTTAGAATCGAGCCAGACCCCTCTGTGGTGATCTCAGTAGACTGGTTCCTCGAGTGAAGCGGGTCCACAGTATTCCAGCACAGCCAGCCTGGCTCATCGGCAGGACCTGGAAAGGCAGACCACTGAGGGTGTGGGGGGGGGGGGGTGTGGAGTCATCCCACTCAACTCCTATTATCCCTGCAAGCCAAAGCCTGAACGGATAAAGCGGTCCCAGCTGGACAAGCAGCAGGACAGTTGCCAGACAGCAATATCAATTGGCTGCCGTGTTTTGCCCACAAAATATGTGGTCAATTCACTTCACAGTATATTCTGTGAAGTGCTTTGAGACATCTCGAAGTCATGCTAAGGCGCTATATCAAATCCAAGGATTATTATAAGATATGTGGTTTTAGCGAGTTAGGCTACAGCAGTACCCCAACGCACACTCTGGGGTCCCCAACTTTGGCTCTTGGCAACCTGCGCCTAATACTTTCCGGAATTAGATAAGCAGGATGCGTCTCTCCAGGGAGAGAGTGTTCATTCCATTCCAACAATCTGTCTCTGGGATTTCAATGTGTAGACGGGATGCATTGAAATCTTAGCTCGGCTTGGATACTCTTAAGCATGGTGATGGGTTTCCGCATGTGTCAGACACCCGGCTGACAATTTTTTTTCATTTAACCAGATTTTCCTCACTTTTATTCAAAATGAAGGAAGATTGCGAGAACATACAGATTTTTTTAAATGCTGAGTCCATCTGGATAATATATAAAGATTCTAACTAATGTGCAGGTAAGTCCATAGTTGTCTCAGATCCTAGTGTACATTATAATGCATTATTTCACAAGCAATCCTGATTTATTTCACAAACTCTAAGGAAGCAAGTGTCATTAAACAGAGCAATCTAGTCATTAATAACTGAAGTGACTTTTAGTATTTGGATGAAATTGAAATGAGGCATCTCTTCGCCAGAACTCCTGTTGTAACTGATAAACAACAAATACCAAGGGGTCTTGATTTTCTGTCTTGAAGATGGGAAATCTGATGGATACTGACATTATGTCCAACGTTCCAGCGGGACTGTGTGCCACAATAGTTTCTAGATGCCATAGTTTTGCAGATTTCTATAAATCAAGGTACTTGGTGAATTGCAACACTTCCAAGTCTCTGTCAATTTTGAAATGTATTGGAAATGTTCTTATCGAAGTCAACGTATTATTAACAACTGGCAAGCTGCAGTTTCTGTTCAGTTACATTTTACTTGCTTCTCCCTGTCAGTCAGGTTAGGAGGAAACGTGCTGTAATTATTATTTAGCCATTGGGAACTTGTTATCTGAGATTTTCGTGTAAAACCTGCTCAATATAAGATTGCTTCAAATTGATGTTTCACATTCAACACTAGTAATCTCTCAATGGGAGTGCCTTTCCTAATCTCTAGTTATGCCATCTGAATGCTGCATGTTGGTTCTTGTTTGGAGATTTTTAGCAGTTCTTTAGTTAAGCCACGTGGCTTTGAATATGTCACGTCCATAATTCTAAATACGTGTGAGTGTGAGTCCACATAGGGGCTTGAGGATGGAGAGCTGTAAAATTGCGTTCTAACCAGGTCAGCAGGCACTGCCACTGTCCCACATGTTATCTGTCTAGAAGATTATTGGTGGGTAATTGCAAGACAGATAATCTGGGCACAGATAAGCGATGTTCCCCTGTAACTCTGTTCAGCTGAAGAAATTTGTTTCAACATTTCTTTCCCAAGTCGTAATTGACAAGATTGGGTAAACCAACTGGGGCGAGTGTTCCTGCCTGACAACGAGAGGATTAAAGTAAGCAGAGATAGGTAAATACAAGTTACCGGCTGGGTGCAATTGATAATGTTTTTTAAAAAGATAATGCTCAGGTTATGTGACTGATGGGTACGGATGGTACTGGGCTGCCTGAAGTTGAATGTGGTAGGAACTAGTGTGGATGGCTGTTGGGACAGATTATGAAAGCATCATGTGATAGTGAAGCACACTCCCAACATTTCCTCAACCTCCTCCTCCAGTCTGTAAGAGCAGGGAAAATCTGGCAAAAAAAAAG